AAGCAGATAGGTGGCATGGAAGTTTGCTCAGGCTGCCATAACAAAGTACCACTGACTGGGTGGCTCAAACAACAGAAATTTATCTTGTAAAGGCTAGAAATCTGAAATCTAGGTGTTGGCAGGGGAGGTTTCTTTGGAAGCAGTGAGGGAAGATCTGCTCTAGGCCTCTCTCCTTGGTTTGTAGACGGCCATCTTCATGTTCACATGGCATTCTCCTTGTGTATGCCTGTCCTGTGTTCAAATCCACCCACCCACCCCCATTTTAAAGGATACCAATCATATTTGGTTAGGTCCCACCCTAGTATTTGGTTAAGTCCCACCCTAATAACTTTATGTTAACTTGATTTTATCTCTTTTTTTTTTTTCCTTTTTGTCTTTTTTACTGACCGGTAACGGGATCGCAACCCTCGGTGTCGCGCCCGTACCAGGGACCGGCAACGGGATTGCAACCCTCGGTGTTGTGCCCACACCGCGCTCAGCCGGTGAGCAGGAACCAGTCTCCAAATGGGATCCGAACCCTCAGTGGGAGCGCCGCCGCGCTCCCAAGCGGCACACTCTCCAGTGTNGGCCGGCCCACTTTTTTTTTTTTTTTTCCTACTTGATTTTATCTCTAAAGAGCCTATCAAATAAGATCATATTTTGAGATACTAGGGGTTTGGATTTCAACAAATGGATTTGGGGGACAGTTCAACACATAACATCCATGTTCTCCAGGAACTTCAGATCTAGTTTGGGATATAAGGAAAGGCAGCCGAGTGCTGAGTTAAGGATAACTTGCTGGGGCATTGGGTAACTTGCAGGGATTTCAGCAAAGGGAGTCATCCCTGAAATCTAGGAGGTGAGTCAGACTAGGCAGAGATGCACCCAGGTCAGCAGCAGAAGTGTCACCTGCTCTGTCCAGGTTGCTGTGTCCCTCTCTGCAGTCAGACGCTCTAGAGGCTGCCTTTGCCTTTGGGAGCACTCTTCAGCGTGCTTTAGAAATAGTTATGTGATCTTTTGGTGGTGTAAGCAGCTCTTAAAGTGTTCACTCTCTTTTCAAAAGTCTATTTGAGAGCCCTGTTCTCTGAGGCCCATCCCTCACAGTTTGGGGGAAAACTAGGTGAAGCATATTGGTCAGGGTTGCAGCAGGAAATGGAAAGCTCATTCAGCTTCAGCTGGGGTTGTGGAAGAGAAGTTTTTGATGAAGGGACCAAGGGCCAGGGTGCAGGCTGGGAACCCATAGGGCTGTCCAGGCAGCTGGTCATATAGAAAGAATGTCTTTTCCCCACTAAGCCTAAAAGAGCATGGGAGGACATAGTGTGACCAGAGCTCAGTTGAGAGTTGGAGCCACGAAATAACCAGGAGCTGAAGCTGTGAATTGGATGTGGCTGCTGCAGAACCACACCAAAGCAGGGAGGTGGGTGGGGGTTGTGGACGAACTCTCTCCTCCACTCTCTAGTCTCAGATCAGGCATCCTGTTGGCTAATCCCAACAAGAAACCAGGAGGCTGGGAGCCCAGGCAGTGCTGTCTATAGAGGTTAGCCTCCCAGGATATAGGGAGGGGCACAGAGTGGATCTCTCTGCACAGTGTCAGTGGCTGGGAGGTGCACAGAG